CGACAACAGCATTGCATAGGCGCGGAAGCGGTGTTTAGGTATTCCGTTATCAGCGTCGGATGGATCGTGCAGGGCTTGCAGCCCAGTGCATTTCAAAAACATTCCAAAGGAGGAGACGTTCACGGATGGCTGCTGACGAAGACGCTGAGGACCTGATATTGCAGGAGAAATCTGACCCTCTCGGCGTCAAAATCCCAACATCTCATGAGGACATGTCCAAATGCCAGCGGACTTCCACCTAGAGCTCACGACGGCGGGCGCTCCAGCAGCGGTCGCCAATAACCGAGGCGGTTGACTCTCCTTCACCACCCAATAACTAACTCACATCTTCTATGGCGTGATGTATGTGTGTTTGGTAGCTTTGCTGGTCATGGTGCTTGGAAGCCACTTCTCTACATTACTTCCTCCTATAACGTAAGTGGACGCACATATTTTTTCGATGGAAAATCTTGGTTTGCTCCGTTTGATCCACCCCGCCATTCTGGCAAAAGACAACTGCAATTGTTGCTCGGTAGGGACAGCATTCGAGGTAGAGCACCACAGAGCAAAATGGACCACAAAAAGAGCGACTCACACCAGGGGCCAGACATTTCTGGGGGTCATTAATCGCAGTCAGGAGCAATGCAGCGCTCAGCACGCTGCCCTGCGAAACACCGGCCTCTTCATAGAAACTGGAGACACGGCCCTGCGCCGACACGAAAACGTCGGTCACTCAGGAAGTTGGTCAGATGCTGACCCGTATGTCCCCTCACGACAAATGTACGGAGTTAAGACAGAACACGATACTTCCATGTCGTTCCACACACCCGTCTCACGTTGAAGAAGACAACAACGGTATGCTGCTTTTGTGAAAAGCTCGCCTAAGGACTGCGTATAAAAGTCCCAGGTGATATATATATATATATATATATATACATATATATATATATATATATATATATATATATATATATAAACCACGGTTGCGACGAAAAGCGCAACGTTCGTTTGTAAACGAACCACTCTTCTCCCGGAACTATATGAGTCATTTGCGGACTTTTTCCAATAGTTTGTATAGGTACGATATAAGCGTTGCTTGATGCGAATCCGACGGGCTATCGTCAGCCTTCCTGACTTCAAAATGAGAATGAGCATTAACTCCAACCACTGTTCTGAGAAATCATATCTTATTCATGCGTAATTAAACAGCGCAGCGAGCTGCAACATGAAATCCTCGACAAAACTTTGCCAAGAGCAATTCATTGCAAACAGCATCAGCACGAGGTGCTGAGATGAAGAGTTGACTCCAGATTCTCGACCGAGAACGTGTCTTTGGTGGCGTCATCTGAAGATCCGAAATTGCTTTGGACACGGTCGGCCCTGGCTTTGATGCGCAAAATCTGAGTTCCTCAGTCGACACCAGTCAGGGGAAGCCCAGCCAGACTCATTAGCCAGTTGAGTCGGGCCAATGCTGGCTGTTGCACCAGGGACTCCCACCAGCCTCGAAGCCCCAGTGGGGGACGGTTCAACGCTGAGGGGGGGGGGTCTCCGTCAAGGCTACCCCGGTGTGACATGGGGCGAATTCACACCTCCCGCACCAGGTGCTTATTGTAGCCGAGGGACCCGTCTTCGTCCTGCCCGTGGGTCGGCGCCGCCGCTCCTGCACACCTGGAGCCGCTGCGCCCAGCCGGGGTATCAAATGGAGACCCTTGGGGGGCAACCGGCATGCAACGCAGGCGTCTAACCGCTGCGCTGCACACCTGGTGCACACCAGGTACAACGCTGCACACTGCTGCGCTGAGGGCGCCACTTTCCACTGATACGCTTTATCAATGGCATGCCTCGCTTCGATGACTCGCTGATATTTTACAGAATACAGTCCTTGCTTAAACAGCATAATGGCACAGTGACCCAGCAGTTCGTCCGCCAATCTCCATTCGGATAGGAGGCACGATGCGCATAAATGTCAACACAAGCCAAATAAACCAACCAAGTCATACAAAACTTGAGCTCCTGTTGCTGAGCGTAATACACGGGGCGCTGTTGAACGGGCCTGGTGAACGGGCCTGCGGCTGGGTCACGTGATCAGCGATCGCCAGGGGACTCTGCTCCGCGACCGAGGCCGGCGACCACGTGACGCCTCACAGCTGGCAGCTGGACGCCAGTCTTTACGAACATTTGGTCGCGTGACGCGAGTCCCTGCCTGTGCGTCACGGCAGCCGACGGCCAGTCGCACGGCGTCCTGTTCAGGTACGCGTCAGGTCTTACACTGTTCAGGTGCGTGTCAACAGCGGCGGTCAATTCGGCGGTCGATGGTTGACGAGGGACAGAGGCGGTCGATCCGGGGAGGGGCAGGGGGAGGGGGCGGTGAACCGACGGCGTCCCCCCGCTCAGCAGGGTTGTTGACTTTATTCCACCCCTATACCCATTTGCAGAGGAACGGAGTAAGGGTACGGCAGGTGGTGTCCAGGAACCGATGTAAGTCCTAAATTACGCTGTATAATTAAAAAAACTGAAGTTGGTTAGAGACGAATGAATGTCAAGGTAAGTATTTCAAAAAAGAACTGACTTCTTGTATTGCTACTCAACACCGCACTGTATGAAGGGGGCACGGCACGATCTCCACGGTCTCCACGGTCAGGCACGGTCTCCGATCGTACTGACCAGTTGCTGTATCGGCACCGTGGAATGTGCCAGTGACAAACCGTAAAGTTTCTCTTACCAGATGCACATTAACGACGAATACTGAGTCGTCGGTATTGCCTATGTTTTTGGCAAACCCTGGAGCTGGTACTCCCCGCACTAAAGGGTTACCGAAAAATGTTTTTGGGTCCAACATGTATGATGTTAAAGCATACTATTCACATTCATTCCAAACTTGTTTTTTTCTAGGACTTCCCATTACGACGCCAGACCTGCGACCGTTTAGGAAATGGACCGCTGGAGAGCGACATATCCAGGGACCAGAAGTCACACTGCGCCGCACCCAGAAAGACCAGGGTGTATTGTATGGTATCCAGAAGAACCAATGCTCAGCGCATCACATGGGGAGGACACTGGTCCCAGCGGATCGGGCCAGGTACAGCAACGCTTCATCGGGCCATGTTTAGGAGAGCCAAAGCCCATCGTGTTATGTTCAGAGGAGTCGGAACTCGTGTGACGTTAAGAACAACGAGGTCAGTGCGCCATGCGCTAGAGGTCACTTCAGGGCGCCACGTCCAGAAGGACCGGGCCCGTCGCGTCTTTTTCAGGAGGGCCGGTCCCTAGCGTCTCCTGTCTGATCCAACGTCGTGTGTCGGAAACAGCAAGTTCCCAACGTCCTGCGTCGGAGACAGCCGGCCCCAAACGTTGATGTTCGAAACAGCCGGCCCCCAGTGAGTTGTGTGCGGAACAGCCGGCACACAGTGTGCTACGTCGAACTCAGGGGCAGCCGGTACGCAGTGAATTGCGCCCAGAACAGCCGGTGCGCAGTGTGTTGTGTCCAGATCAGCCATGACGGAGCGTACCTCGCCATTCCGCTTTTCTTCTCCAATGAACCATGTGCAAATGGCTACCGTGATGCCCGGGTCCGTGCCCACAGAATGCGCCGTTTTGCGGCTTCGATTTCACTGGGAGCACTTCAGTGATCCGACCAAGGAGGGGACGTGCACCCCGGAGACCCGGCCGAGAACGGGGCGTGCACCCCCGGGACCCGACCGAGGAGGGGACGTGCACCTCGGAGGTCCGGCCGGGGAGGGGAGGGAGGGGGGGACCGGCACCTCGGAGGTCCGGCCGGGGAGGGGAGGGAGGGGGACCGGCACCTCGGAGGTCCGGCCGGGGAGGGGAGGGGGGGACCGGCACCTCGGAGGTCCGGCCGGGGAGGGGAGGGAGGGGGACCGGCACCTCGGAGGTCCGGCCGGGGAGGGGAGGGGGGGACCGGCACCTCGGAGGTCCGGCCGGGGAGGGGACGTGCCACCACGGAGGTCCGACCGGAAAGGGGGGGAACTGATACCTCGGAGGTCCGACCGGGGGGGGGGACTGGCACCTCGGAGGTCCGACCGGGGGGGGGGATCGGCACCTCGGAGGTCCGACCGGGGAGGGGACGTGCCACCACGGAGGTCCGACCGGAAAGGGGGGGAACTGATACCTCGGAGGTCCGACCGGGGGGGGACTGGTACCTCGGAGGTCCGACCGGGGAGGGGACGTGCACCTCGGAGGTCCGACCGGAAAGGGGGGAACTGATACCTCGGAGGTCCGACCAGGGGGGGGGGGGGGGGGATCGGCACCTCGGAGGTCCGACCGGGGAGGGGACGTGCCACCACGCCGACGCTCGTCATCGCCGGTCCAGCTGGTCCAGTGCAGGCTGCCTGCTGTGTGATGGTTCGGCGGCGACAGAGAGCACTACTGCTGGGCAACTGTCCGGCTGGGGCAGACGTGGTGGCCAATCTCCGGCGATGGATCTAATACTGACTCGTGAGATCTCTCAGTGCCGCACATTCGGCTGAGCCGATAATCCCTAACCAATGCGGGAGGTGTGCTCCATTTGTATCCGTTTTCGTGTCATTTATATCATTTTCCCCACCACGGTGGAGAGGTAAGTAGTCACAATTTCCCACCCGTGGATGTGCCGGGAAACAAAACAGACATCAATGCACAACTAAATCTAAAGCTGTGGAATTGAAAGTTATGGGTTGCCAGTGTAGAGTCTTTTGTACACAGTACAAAGACTGCGTATTCACGAAACATTTTGACGGTCCTCTCATAGATCTGCGTTGGAAATAAGCAACTTTAAGCAATTGAACCTTGCCTTTCTTCCGCTTCTTCTGTTGGACAAGCTTCACCATCTCCCAAAACCTCGACTAAAAAATGTCATAAAAATACCCAATCATGTAGCCTGTTTGTTATTGTGCGCCTGTGCTACTTCCTAGACGCAGCCCCACGCTCGCACCAAACGCAAGGCGCGTTTGCAGCCCCCAAGCAGGTCGCGTAACAATCAGCCCCGCCCCCAGTGGAGTCCAAGCCGAGCATCGCAGCCCACGCACCTGTTCGACGACATCTTGGAGTAGAACCAGTTGGTGGCGGTGATGTTGCTGACCTCGCGCTGGTCTGCCGGCACGTCGCTCTTGTTACCGGCGAGGAAGGTGGGCACCTCGCGGAAGTCTTCACGCAGCTTGCGGATCTCGCTGAAGCAGTCGGCGGCCTGCAGGAGGGAGGCGTGGCTGTCCACGCTGAACACCAGCAGGAAGGCCTGCGCATGCGCAATGGAGACCCTGGCGGGCAGACGGTGCCGTTAGTGGTAGAAGTGACAGCAGGAAGGTCTGGGCGTGTGCATTGGAGCGACAGCAGGGAGATCTGCGCGTGCGCAACCGAGCGATAGCAGGGAGATCTGCGCGTGCGCAACTGAGACTCTGATCTACTTCATCAAGTTACGTTGCCTACTTTGGCGCCTTAATGACAATCCTTGACTCAGGTACCTTTGGATCGTTCAGGTCGCACCTCGTCAGTACCGGGAAACTTATTTTCTGAGATAGTTTTTTATTTCTAAATAGGGTGAGGCTGCAATTTTGATTGATCCTCACCCCTCCACCGCCGGGAAGCCGTTTTCTGGACTGGTCCCCCCCCCCCCCCGATGTCAGGAGATCTGTTACTTCGGCCGGTCCTCACCTCCTCATGGCCGGAAAGCTGTTGTCACCGCACGTGTCCAGCACGTCCACATCGAGGCGCGTGCTGCCCAGATGGAACGTCCGGGAGTACTGCTCCTCGAAGGTCGGCCGGTACCGCTCGTCAAACTCGTTGTGGAGGAATCGGCGACAGATGGCCGTCTTGCCCACGCGCGGTCCACCCAGCACCAGCAGCCGCACGTGGTGGCCGGGGTCGGAGGTCATGACCTTGCCGCCGCGTACCCAGCGCCTTCAGGGGAGCCGACGGACAAATGTCGCGACCATCTGCCGGCACAGGGTCAATGGATGTGACCTAGCGTTCATCATGTCAGGGCAGGGTGACGGCGCGACGCATCACTGTTGTCATACCACTAGTGTCAGGCCGTCAAAGCATGTCACCCATTCTGGCAACGGAAACACGCCAGTTTGGTCAGATAACAGCAGCCACGGAATAATCTGTACTCTACATGTAGATTACATTGTGCAAATATATGCATATATGCACATACACACACACATACATACATACATATATATATACATATATATATATATATATATATATATATATATATATATACATATATATATATATACATATATATATATATATATACATACATATATATATATATATATATATATATATATATATATATATATATATATAGCTCTTGTAAGCATCACATCTATGAACTGCATACAGCAAGAGTTTTTGTCGCGTCTGCGCCAAGCACACCACTGAATGTTCTCAAAAGGCGCCAATAATTTTCGGTAGAAGGTATTGCCATCACACCTGCCCGTACAATCATGAGCTTGCGTAGAGCCAGTCAGTCGCATTTGCATCAGAAATATGCAACTAACAAATATGCTTGTGAATCTCTGCAAAGCATTTCTGGCGAAAAATTGCGGACTAAATCAAGCCGTTACAAAATAAGTAAATAAAACTTTTTTAAGGCTGTCTCTTTAGCTTTCATACGTAATGCATGGTGAAGACTGATATAATGCATGGAATAGGCTGGAGCCGGGCGCTCAGCGTGCTCTTGAAGGCGGTAAATAGCTCGGCCTCCAGTCGGCGACGTGACGCAGCTCGGCCTCCAGTCGGCGACGTGACGCAGCTCCGCCTCCAGTCGGCGACGTTAGACGCATATACGTGACGCAGCTCCGCCCTCAGTCGGCGACGTGACGCAGCCCCGCCTCCAGTCGGCGACGTTAGACGCATATACGTGACGCAGCTCCGCCCTCAGTCGGCGACGTGACGCATAAGCTTATCAAACGCATGGAGATCAAGAGATCAAGGACCAACAGTCTGTGCAGGCAAGCAGCGGAAACACACACAAACTGGCCGCCATCGGCGGCACCTGCCGCCTGCCGCCGACAGGTGATCTGATTCACGACACTTCCTTGTTCTTTCTACTCCCGCGTCGTGGATTGCAGGCTACGCTTCCCGGGCACGATGGACGATATGGCGAGATGCTGGTGTCATACGTACTTGTTAGGATTGGCAGAAAAAATCAATAAATAAACGCGCCAAAAATATGTTTTTAAGCTGGTTTGGAAATAGGAACGAAAATCACATGTGAAGCCACGTTTTTATATGCCTATTCACAGTGTTTCATGGGACTCTTGCTTCTCGATTTTTGTCTATCCTAATCTTTCAACGGACACATAAGCACATTTCAACATACATTGTTTGGGAACGCACACGCACTGTTTGTACAGTACTGCTCCAGTCCACCATGAGCCATACAGCACATCGTTTTGACCGTTGCCCAATTTAAGCGACTGACTACGCAAACATCATAACCAATTAGCAAGTTCATATACGCCCGAGGCGAAAATACATTCTGCATGGCTTACGCTGAATGTGTTAGCGTGATCAGTAAATACGACGATGACCTAGAGCTCAGCTACTGTCAAATACTACTTTACGGATTTGGCAACCGCTGGCTAGTTGCCAAGTGACAAGTCCGCGGATCTGACAACCGCAGGCTATTTGCCAAGGGACATGTCTGCGGATCTGGCAGACGCAGGCTAGTTACCACGTGGCGTTACACAGGCCCTTCCAGCCACTAGACCATGGCCCCATTCTTCATGGGAAAATGTTCCCAGATGCCCCGCCCCTTCAGGTAACGACCTATGACGTTCCACAGCCACGTGCTCTACATGCTGGAAAACGCCTCGAGTATCTCCCCAATATGGTGGCTGGTAAAATCAGCTGCTTCCCATCAAACACATTTGGCGCGCAGCAGGTGTGATATTGACCAGTCGGGACAGTCAAATGGAAATACTTCAGGTGGATCTCTCACATCAGCCACCTATACAATAACGACTTAACTTAACGAGAATATTATAGGCAGAGGAATGGCCCCAAGGAGGTCATCGCCCTCGACTCAGAAAGATGCTACCAAACATGACTGCATTCTGGGTAACGTTGCTGTGACGACATCATGGGACTAAGTCATAATGCACCAACGCTATGGTGGCGTGAAAACGCTGTTCCTCGGGGTTTGGTTTAAACGTAAATGTGTCCAAAAGCCGCATTGTTTTCGACCTAGCACATTCAATTCAACATTTTCAGCTGGGAAACGGCGTTGGTTTGCAACAAAGCCACAAAATTATTGCTAAAATGCGCTTCCAACCTGCCCCCAACAGACAGATGGGGTACCTAGTCACCGATGATTTATCCCGAAGAAGTCTAGCCGGAAGCGCTCAGAACCAGTCTGTGCAAAGGAGTGCAACATGCAACAACAGCATCAACATATGTTGGAAATGAGATACGGCGGAACAGACGGGCTCGCAGCACCCTGGGACGCACACTGAGAAACTGGAATGCACATCCTACAGCCTCAGTGGGAGGGTGGAGCGTGGGAGCGTTGTCAGGGCATATGCAGGGGTGGCCTGCCCTTATGGGTTAAGTGAGTGGTGAACCCTGGGGGCTTAAATACAGCGCGTCCCATTTCAGTTCAAGATAGGATAATTTTCCTGTAAAATGGCCCGATTTATGGCAAGTTTCGCAATTTCTACCAGTCAAAGAGTCGAGGCTCATATTTTAGCTCCGAAATAGTCTAATAGGGATATTTTACGGTGGTGGGGGTGTTATTCTCTGCGCTCCATTTTTATGTAACCCATCTAATATTATAGATTTGCAAGTTAACTAACACATAGGAAGATCATAGCACAGCAACAGCGAAATTCTTGGCACCGGCCTTTCTCACATTACCGTATTTTCACATTTCATTCCATGTAGGCACTGCAGTGCAAAAATGTATGTGCAATCATTGCCCATCAATCAATGTAACTTAACTATTATATGTGATATCTATTTATCTGAATCTGGATTTTCCTTTTTCAAAAACGTTTTACATATAGATATTCACGCGCGGTGGCCTCGACGAATATGGCGCGGGTGCTGGAACTAGAAAACGTGTGTTAGTAGGATTTATTTTTGCGGTCAGATCCGACCATTGATTTGTCTTTAGAAAAATTAAAATGCAATGTTATTTTATATGATTTTATTTTTTCATATTTAAGCTTAAACATCAAAACAAAGGTGTAGAACATGGCTGCCATCCAGTTGAATGGTGAAACCACCGTTTTTAATCATGTGACTAGTACCTACCAAACTTTCGTAGTATCAACCAAAAACTACACCACGGATCACCAAATTTTAGTCCCATGGTGACCCCACGTCTGCGTAGCCTTTTCTAGTAGCCTTGGACCTTGCATTAATTCAAGCGTCGTGCGAGAGTAACCACATACAATCGATCCCGCCACAGACACGAAGTTGAACCGGCACTGGTAACTTAACGCCTTATGCCAGCTTAGATCATCTTACATGTATATCGGGTTCGTCTATATATTTGGTCACGCATGGAAGAGTTTTGGCGCGTGTGGTTGCAAAAACGGCTACAGCTATGGGGAAGGGACACCCCACGTCCTCCTCGGGCCCGGATGTCCCGTTTCACCATAGATGACTTCCGACGGAGCAAAGAATACGCATCCTCACCGAGGTCAGGGCCGGCGAGATTAATGATGTTCCGAAAGAAGTGCAAAGCAGAGTCCTACTTCGAATTGGTAAGTTTGAGGACTTGCTCGGAGCACGTTTTCGGCGGAAATCGCATGTTGTGACACGTCGCATGAAGACGAATTCTACGTATAGACACATAGACGAACAATATCCATGGAGACATGTGCCACCCTGTTGGCGACAAGTTTGGAATTTCAAAATCTGGGTCAAACTAGAACCTGACAGCATTTTGCAAATATGTTACTGCCGCACGTGGTGACGCCATCGAGTGGCCAAGAGCAGCGCAGCTACATGAAACCATCGCCGGCTTTGCAGCGTGCGCCGGTTCCCCTAGTGTTGTTAGGGCCATCAACGGATCTTTTATCTTCACAGATGCACCCAGCAAGGAGATAGAAGCTGCTCATTATACGCATAAGCGTCGCCAAGCAGTACATCTACTGGCTGCTTGTGATCACCGCGGCGCATTCACTGATGTACTTGCAGGGTTCCTAGGACCCACTCACGATTCTCGTGTTTTTTTTTTGGGGGGGGGGGCTGGGAGGAGAAGGCCCTCCTCTGCTGCGACCTCAGGGAGCATCGGCGGAAGCTTCTCCCACCTAACACACACCTCACTGAGGACAGGAGCTTCCCTTTTACCCAGAGATCATCACCCCCTACCGAGACAACGATCACCTCAGCCTCAACCAGCGCCACTTCCACAGCCATACAAAAAAAACACGTCAAAATTGAACGTGCTTTCAGCATGCTGAAAAACAAACTGCAGCAGCCAAAACATTTAAAAATGAAAAACATGGGCAATGTGGCTGAGGTTATCATTGCGTCGATCACTACGCCATGCATCAGCCATTGCATCGTGCGTCATGAGCGTCGTGGGGGGGGGGGGGGGTGATGTAGTGCCTGCAGAGTCCCACGAGGCGGATCCCGTGGAATGGACCCACGCTGCGGGGGGTGATGCAGTGCCTGCAGAGTCCCACGAGGCGGATCCCGTGGAACGGACCCACGCAGGTGCGCTGTTGCTTTCCAGCATACAGAACCTGCAGGCGCAGTGCTGAGCATCACAAAGCGACAGGACATATCTGCCCACCTCATGACACAGATGATGATGCATGCAGATTGCTCCACTTAAATGTCG